ATTTTTCATTTTAAACTGCTGTTTGATATTTATTTTTAGCAATTTTGTTATATGATGCAATAGCTCATAAAATAAAAAAGACAAAATAAAATACACTGTTTACTTTTGTTCCAGAAAATTAATTTTAGAAATAGTCATTAAAACAAGTTTGAGTATTCCATTTTCATCTTGATTTTTAAAAAGAAACATTTTTGAAAATTTCATAAACCTATAGTACAATTTTCATGTTTATTGCTAACTCTACTTTCAACTGATCAGAGCTCACTGAAATATAGGTGCTTTGAAGTCAGATTTAAGATCCTACATTTTCAAAGTAAAAACAACTAAAGGCTTTTACCTTAGAGAAGATAGAAAAGGCTTTTAATATTTATATTTAAACCAATTGTCAAGTATAATAGAAATCTCCATGAGTGTCTGAAATACATCCCTTTATAGACATTATTATATGGAGAGCTAGAGAGCTGTCTGAACATTTACTGTCTATGAGGAATTCAGATTGCTTTGTGAGTGACTAATTTCGAGACAGGCAATCTGAATCTTAGGCAGATTGACTCAGAAAATGAAAACCTGACACCATAAAGGGAGAGTAGATAGTCTACAAGTGCTCATCCTCCAAAAGATGGAGAAATAACAGTCCCTGAGCAAGTAGCCAAGAGCTGTAGTTATTCAGTCTATACATCCTACATTTCTGAAGAAAAAATTACCTGATTTTGCAACAACCCACTTCCTCCAGAAAACCCCCATAAAACCTCCTTAATTCCCCACCAGTTTCTACCTCCTAAAAATTTTAACCAGTAGAATCATATTTATATACTGAAGTATGGGAGATATCCAAGCCCTGCAAGGCTGCACTTGCAGATTCGTGTACCTTTTGGTGCCATTTTAAAAAACAGAGCCATAAAACATAACTTCAGCCTGGGATTTTGGAATTCGAAGTGTTTAATCAGCAGAGAAGCAGACTCTCTAGGCTACCTTGTCTCAAGTTAGAGTAGGAGAGGTGCTTATTTTATTTATTTTTAAAAAAGCAAAGATACTCAAGAGGACAACTTCAAGAAAATGGATCACATCTCAGATGAGCATTAGACTCATTAGTAAGAAGAAAGAAATCAAGTGGACCAACTTGCAATGCAGTCTTAATTTCTGTAGAGTAGCAAATGAGTAGATAATTTACACATGAGAACAGGCCTTCCCATACCCAGAGCAGAACACAAAAACAAGGTACCGAAGAACGAGAGGAGCCTTACCTCAATGTGAACTGATCTTCTGTTGAATTTTTAGCAATAGATACAATGAAAGTCAAAATGTCACCTTGTTTGACAGTCTTTGGTGTGTATTTGATGGCAATGTTATTATCCAACCTCATTTCATATAAGGAAGGGCCAGCATGTGTCTGGTAAAGGAAAACACTTCCAATTCTTTGCAAGGGAGGTGCTGACTCATCAATGTCATTGTGCCCTGGTCGAATGCCATTGCTTTTTCTTACATCCTCCTTCAAGCATTCCCCTCTCTCATCGCCTGGCTGGATTGCATAGTACAGCTCCACAGGGCTCCCTTCCGACTGATCCGTCGGCTTCTTACGGCCAGCAACAACCGTGGGGGGACTAAACCAGCTGGGCAGCAGCTCCAGCTCGGCCACGCACAAGCCCAGGTCTCCTTTGAGCCTGCAGCTGCCCCGGACTTCCCGCGTCTCTCGGAAGGCAAAGACCCGCAGGCAGGGCAGCCGCTCCGTGGTGCTGTAGTCATCCCAGTCCCGGCCCACGATGTAGAAGAGGATCTGCACTTTGGGCTTGCTCGGGTAAATCTTGTCACTCATTATGTAGGCCTTCAGTTTCCAGTTGAAGGAGAACTTGTTAGTAGATGCAAAGGGATTTGAAGACAACATTAAGTCCTGGGGCACTACTTGTTCAGTGGAAAAAGGTCCATAGGTGGCATTTAACACAGGTGGCCTCTTAGATTTGTAGATCAGAAAGGATTCCACTCGGGACTGCAAGCTGGAATTCCTCATAATATCCTGGTTGGCCTCCTTGAGAAAGAAGGAAATATCCGCATTGTGGATACGATAGCTCACAGGCAAGTAAGTTGGCAGTAAAGAAAATCTTTGTATGCTCTCCAGGATCCCACGAGTCTCAGTCACTGTTAAAAAGAATGGAGAATTTAGATCAAATGTAAAAAAACTTCAGTATTAGGTTTCAATCAGATCCCTCATCTCTGTAAAGATAACATAGATCTAACAGAAACCTTAAGCAGCAGCAAAATTATTAGTACTAGTAATGTGACTTCAGGTTTCACTGAAATCTCTTTGGCCAGTTTCCTAAGAATCTGCATTGACCTTTAAGCAACCAGACAGATAACGTCGTCAAATCTGTGCCAAATTTTGGGAAGTGGTTCCAGCGTCAGTGCCACCCCCACTTGGCTTCCATCACATATCTACCATCTCCTACTAGTGACCCCTGTACCGGTTCACTAGCTGACCCAGCAAACTGTCCTTCATCCAGCTAGTGCAGGAGCTAAGTACTTGCCCAAGGCTCCAAACAACCAATTCAGATCTCCTGAGACTTTCGGGTAATGTTTATAAACAGGCATGAATATTACTCTCTTAATATTACCAGCTAAAAGCTTTACAAAGCTGAACTTTTTAGAAAAATGCATGATTCACCAGCCTCAATATTGGAGTGTCATAAGATATTAAAAATAATAAATTTTCTCTGTGTTTGCCTGTGCAGTTTCAATCTCACAGTTCAGATTCCTAAGAATTTTTTTTTACAATATTGAGAAACTTATTGGGGAAAAATAAACAAACAAAAACTACACAAAAACAAGCTGAGCTTCCTTTGAATTAACTTGACTCACAAAGCTGCTGTTTCATAAAACAGTTGAGGATTTAGAGCAAAACCTGAAGAGTTGGCACCACTTCTCTCTGGGTGTGATGCTTTTCAGTAGCCCCTATTAAGCCTTGATTTACTTCAAGCTCCTTGACTCATGCAGTGATGTAACCTCCCTGCATTAACAGTGCGGTTGATAGTAGTGCAGGTGGTATTAGCAGAAATAACAAGGATCATCCACCCCTGCAGATGCAGCCAGGATAGACAGCATTTAACACAGTCAGCTTGGATAACTCCACGTTACGTTAAGTTCTGCATGGCAGCTCAGTAAGGGCTGGCTCACATGTACCCATGCCCAAGGCCACATCTTCATCTGCAACACAGATCTATTACAGGAGAGCAAATTTGCCCAACCAGCATCTGCTCCACAAAACCACTGCACACACAATATTAAAAAAGAAATCTGATGGTTACAGCAAGCTGCACCTACACAGAAACTCAAAGTAATGATTTCACATCAAAAGCTGCTCATGGACCACTTATATTTCATTTCAGCCTTATTTTCAGGGCTGTCAAACAGACTTGAAGCCGTTTCCTGCACAAGGCTGAGTTTCGCTTTAGCAGTTAGCCCAGCAACCATGCACACAAAGGCTCCTTCACACTGCACCAGCACCAGAGGATTGAGGGTTTCAAAAGAAAGATTTATTTGAATCCTAGTTATGATCCCTACCATTTCACTTCTTCCAGGAAGGTTTTTTTCTGTAAATAAATATTAGGGCTCACATCACTGTTGTTGCCTAGCCGTACGTTAGTACAACTGTGCTAGCTGGATTTTAGTGGTGCTGCATATCCCTGAACACTGAAAGAACATTTTCAATGACAAAGAATAACTCTTACTGCCAAATCCCTCTTTTAACTGTGCTGTTGAGCAATTCCTTGAGGTAGGTTATTGCAGTAAGGAATAAGATGTCCATCCTTTCTAGGAACTGCCAGTCCCAAAGATTAAAGACATGCACTGTTAAACAACAATACCAGATGCAAACACAATACAATATTTCCTATTTGAACATCTGACCAACCTATGCAATAAAATTGCATATTTTTCCATAGCAACTTCAAATCCTTATACTTAATTCAGAAATGTGATAAAGGATTACCACAGATGACGTTCAATGCAAATCCCATTTCCCAAGCTGTATTGCACAAATACTTTGTTAGTTCTTATTTTAACACCTGACTAAATGTTTATTGTCTGGACAGGTACTGAGGTTGCCCAAGCTGGTAATAGTTACTCCTAACTACCCAAATGCAATCCATGCACTGCAATTTATGCACAAGATTAGAATGGGCTTGATAGCTTCAAAACCTCTGGGAAGGTGTTAGTTACTAAAAACTCTGACCAGAAACAGCCTGGAAAACGCCTCTCAGCAATGATCAACATACCAACAGGTAGCACGACCTGCATTATCCTGAGACATCACACGGGTCACACTGTGCAGAAGATCTCGCTGTGCCACCAACTCTGCCTGACCTTGTGTGAGTTACTTTGTTCACGGTGTCCAGGTCCAACAAATAAGGGTATTACTATTTATTTTCCTTCACTCTTTGCCTGTAAATATCACAAATGCATCAGAGAGCCTGCAGCTTACTCTACATATATACTTGCTATATATGACCTACAGTAAACAGAGCTGTGGTCTCAGTCTCCAGAGACTAAAGCAATGCAGGCCAGGAGTATTTTGCTCTATGAAAAGGCAAAATGAGCTTGCTATAAAGAGAAAGCATATAGGGATGGCCATGAGCTGCAGGACTGAAAACAAGTCTCAGGCAGAGAAAGGAGCCAGCAGCAGAGTGGAATTTTGCAGTTTTGGAAAACTTTCTCTCCACAATCCTGACAAGCTAAAAATTCCTATCCCTCCAGTAAACTGTTAAAATAATGACTTAATTTAAAAAGTTGAATTAATGCCAAGTCTTCAGCACCACCTGGAAGTAGAAATAAATTGCATCCAAAGAATCAGGAAATGGCCCATCTCCATCATATGAGATGCTGTAAGGAGCAGCAGTGATAAAAGGCTGAAGCAAGGCCCATGATCCTGCTGCAATTCCTGGAGGAGGAACAGTCAGCTGTAGGAGCACTACATCTTGTTTAAATTTAGAGGCAGTCACACCCAAGGGCTTTCTGCTTGTTTTTTTTCCCCCACAAATTAAGTTGCAGGGATTCTTGGGAGGCAAAACAAACACACACTTTTTGCTCTAGCCTTGGTTCTTTTTGCATTCATCTCTCTCCTTCTCTCTAGATATTCATTGGGAGCAGATTAAGTTTTTACAGACCCTTTTCTAGAGAAGCCCCCAAAGCTCTCTAAATGGCTTTGCTCATGCTTAGAGACTTGCAGGGATACGTCTCTCCCATCCAGCCCTAAGGCACAATCTGTTCTGCTGTTGTATTCCTCAGATCACCCAGCCCATAACATCGTTCCTCCATCTAATATCCCATTTATAAATTCCACACTCATTTTGTCCTCCTCCCAACAGCTTGGCAAAGCCCCATTAAACACAGCGAGACATCAAGGAGGCAACTTGGAGAGAGGAAAAAGCTCAGGGTATTCAATTTTTTATTTCCCTTATTTTGACTGCAGCTCTCTCCCTTTGCATTCCACGGGGAGAAGTACATTATTTTTATATTAAAACTAACAGAGTGTTTCACCTCAATTTTTTAATCATTTATTTTAGTGCTTAATTATCTAAAGGATTAAAAATCTTCCTTCTGTATTCCCCATCTCCACAGGACAATACTTCCTCAAAGTGGGTAAATTAATGATTCTTTGGAATAGTACAGCAACATGAATTAGAAAAAATAGGAAGGTGAGCTGCTTATTTTTAAAAAATAACAATAAAAAAAGAGAGGATGACTTGATACAGCAGGGTCCATTGGTTTTTAAATTGTTGGGCAATGGCAAAGTGGTCTGCTCAGTGTCGTGCTTCTCCCTACCAGCAAGCTGTTGATGTGCACTGAATATGAATAGGCTTATGCTAGAAGCCAACAGCAGCTTTCCAAACAGCCAAAGGCCAAAAATTCAAACAGTTTTGCACTTTATCTGGGGAGAGTTATAATCAGTACAAACAGGAGAAAAAAAAAAAAAAAAAAAATCAAGAACTACAGTGAGCTCTGCAGTACCATCTGGATTTTGACCGTAAAAGTTTATTAAGGATTCTGAAGGATAGGAAATCAAAACTGAAAAACAGCATCCTTAGTTGCAACCATGACTATTTTCATACAAGTTATCCATGTTTTTATAAAGCAAAAAATGCCCCAGATTATGAATTTGTATGTTAACAAGACAGCATAAAAGTGGAGTTTTAAAATTTCAGTCATTCCATCTACCCCAAATATTACATCAAATCCATAACATGCCTCAATCAAAATTCTGCAGGAATAACCCACCTTAACAAATAACAACCAGTGAATTTCTCAGCTTAAGTAATGTGAAAGCACAATCAAGGAAACAACATCAAGAGAAATAGAAAGCTATGGCTAAATTTGGCAACCGCAACTCATCTTTGCTACATCACTGTATCTCACAGCTCATCTACACAAGGAGCTTGGCAAGATGATAACCAATCATAGAATCACAGAATGGTTAAGGTTGGAAGGGACCTCTAGAGATCATCTAGTCCAACCCCCCTGCACACGCAGGGTCACCTAGAGCACGTGGCACAGGGAATTTTTGATGTTTCAGTTTCCGGCCATTTCCTCTAGTCCTATCAGTGGCCACCACTGAAAAGAGACCATCACCGTCCTCTGCACTCCCTCCCTTGAGGTACTTCTAGACACTGCTCAGGTCCCCTCTCAGCCTTCTCTTCTCCAGGCTGAACAGGCCCAGCTCCCTCAGCCTCTCCTCACAGGGCAGATGTTCCAGGCCCCTGATCATCCTTGTAGCCCTGTGCTGGACTCTCTCCAGCGGCTCCAAACCCTAACCAAGTGCAAACAGGCAGCACATTAGCCAGTCTTTCAAGTTGATTGTTTAGACTTACATCAGTGGGCTACACCATGGCCAGCACGAGATGGAAAAACACTCCGAATTCAATCTGTCCATATCTGATAGGAATCTATTGGAGTGATATCGGTTTAGAATGATACAGATGAGAGATGACATAGGAGACCCCATGACTTTGAACTGCCTTGCAGCCCTGCAGCATCCTGAGGGACCAACCCTCACCCTGAGCACATTCCTTGGGCTTCCCAGAACAAACTCTGGTCTCAGGCAATGATACTTATCTTGAAGCCAACCAATAAAAACCAATTCTGATGCT